TCAAAACAGTGTTTATTATCTCTATGTTGGAGCTCTATGCTGGAACGAAAACAACTCCTGCGAAAATTTGTTGCGTAACTCCAGCTGTCTGTGCTTTATTTTGTTGTTGTTTTATCATTATTTATTGCTTTTAAGGTTAGATTTCTTTTGATTTTAAGGTTATATTTCTTTAAAAGAAGTATTTCTTTGCTAAGGGTCGCTCGCCCGTCGACTCGGCATTGCTCTTTTGCGCTTGACTCGCGAACTGCGTTCTTTCTTATATTTTTTTCTTTTTTATGAACACTATCCTTGGAGTTTAAAAACTATATGTAGCCTGCTCAAGAGTCATATCTTCTCGCAACCTATTTATCCATGCCCCAGGTGGATTTTTATTTACCGAAGAGCCTCTTGATAGACGACATTGGAAGTACCTAATTTTTTCACAGATGTGTGATACACTACAAACACACAAGTTCAACTCGTCACAATTTGACATTTTCCGTTTTATCTAAGTGACGCAGTTAACACGTGGTCCACAGTATCTTTTGTTAACTTATATTTAATTGTTATAATAATGTAAAATAAAAAATGTAAAATGTAATGTAAATAATGTACAAGTAATTTGTTTGTTAATTGTTAAATTAGTGTATTATTTATACACACAACCCGTACGAAGGACGGGAACACAGCTAGTATAATATAACCATGCAGGTCGTACCATTTTGTCTTGTGATACATGTGTATATATATTTATTGCGTATAATACAGCCGTGTTAGTAAAAGGTAATATATGCAGTCATGTGAAAGCAACATTTGAGTTTGATTGTTAGATTTTCAGTGACAGTTTTAGTAATACGTCACTAGAGGGCCCCTGGAAATACTGGTTTTGTTTGTTGTTCAGCGCTAAGCTGTACGAGGAAATATGTGCGATACGCCCACCGAGAGAACATAATCCCGAATTTTAGCGTTCTGATCCATCCAACAGATCACTGAGCCAGCCCCCCAGTGGCACAGCGGTATGTCTGCGGACTTTCAACGCTAGAATCTGGGTTTCGATACCCGTGGTGGGCAGAGCACAGCTAGCCCATTGTGTAGCTTTGTGCTTAATTGCAAACAAACACTGAGCCAACGGATAATGGGGGCTGGGAGGGTAGAAATACAAAGGAAAAAAGGATTTGTTTGAAATTAAACACAAAGCTACACGATGGGCTATCTGTGCTCTGCCCACCACGGGTATCGAAACCCGGTTTCTAGCGTTGTAAGTCCGCAGACATCCCGCTGTGCCACAAGCACAAGGGAAGATTTACTAATAAATAAAACTTGTTTGATAGGTTGCTAGATATGTATGTGTTTTAATTTAAGAAATAAAACTAAATTTGTTTTAAACACCCGTCAACTACCAGTGTAGGTAGCGCTTATCAGTTAGCAAAATACAAATAAAAAAAACCAACTAAATATTATAATTTGGAACTAATTCCAAACACGTTTAGGAAAGTTTCTGAAGGCTGCATTCTAATTTTATATTGAAAAAAAAATTTTGGTAAAAAGTTCCTTGTGCGTGTAATGACGACGTAGCGTGGAAGGTTATTTAAAATCCTCTGTTTATTTTAATAAGTTGTTTGTTTCTTTATTTGTTGAATTTCGCGCAAGTCTACTCGAATGCAACCTGCGCTATCCTTCCCTAATTTTGAAGTAATATACTAGAGGGAAGGCATCTCGTCAACGCCACCCACCGCCAACTCTTGAGTTACTCTTTATCAACAAATAGTAGTGGTATGGACTATCACTTTATAACGCCCCCAGGGCTGGAAGGACGAGCGTGTTCAATGACGGGATTCGAGCTTGCGACCCACAGATTGCGAATTGAGATTCTCTAGTGTCGTTACTTAGAGCATGACCGGACGTAGATTTTAACGACGTGGTTAGGCTCGAAAATTGATTTGTTATAACGCACTCAACCTCTGTACTACTACTTTTTTTCTTTGGCGTGATTAATTTCTATTGACATTTTGATTAAAGTTTTCGTCAATAGATGGCAGAAGTTACAAGAATATTCAAAAATACAATAGTAGCAATTTTTACAGGAAAGAAATTCATATTTTAATCATTACAACGTCTCGACCTGTAGTATCGGGTCATTATTAGATTATCGCTGAGGGGAAGGAGGTGTGGGAAAGTATTTATTATGAAATTACGTAAGTAAGCAAGAAAAAAAAACTATCTTTGTATGTACTGTATTCCCAGCTGAACTTCAGAAACATAGCATTTACTGAACGTAATGACGACTAGTATGATCACGTTGTTGTAAGCTATTTGTATCTACTTAATATTATAGCTAGGTGATCTGCAGGTCGCGGATTCGAATCCCCATCCTCCACACATGATCTCCCTTTCAATCGTTATAATGTGACGGCCAATCCCACTATTCGTTGGTAAAAGAGTAGCCCAGGAGTTGACAGTGGTTGGTGATTGATGACTAGCTGCCTTCCCTCTAGACTTTCACGGTTAATTCAAATAGTCCTCGTGTAGCTTTGCGCGAAATTCCAAACAAGCCAAACCTACTTAATATTTTACAGTACTTTAATAATAGCAAGTAGTTACCCCAACACATACTCAAGAACATTATATAGTTACCCAACACATACTCAAGAACATTATATAGTTACCCAACACATACTCAAGAACATTATATAGTTACCCAACACATACTCAAGAACATTATATAGTTTGACAATAAAATAAAGAACATTATATAGTTTGACAATAAAATTAAGAACATTATATAGTTTACAATAAAATTAAGAACATTATATAGTTTGACAATAAAATAAAGAACATTATATAGTTTGACAATAAAATTAAGAACATTATATAGTTTACAATAAAATCAAGAACATTATATAGTTTACAATAAAATTAAGAACATTATATAGTTTGACAATAAAATCAAGAACATTATATAGTTTGATGATAAAATTAAGAACATTATATAGTTGGATGATAAAATTAAGAACATTATATAGTTTGATGATAAAATCAAGACCATTATATAGTTTGACAATAAAATTAAGAACATTATATAGTTTACAATAAAATTAAGAACATTATATAGTTTGACAATAAAATGAAGAACATTATATAGTTTACAATAAAATTAAGAACATTATATAGTTTGATGATAAAATTAAGAACATGATATAGTTTGATGATAAAATCAAGACCATTATATAGTTTGACAATAAAATTAAGAACATTATATAGTTTACAATAAAATTAAGACCATTATATAGTTTGACAATAAAATTAAGAACATTATATAGTTTACAATAAAATTAAGAACATTATATAGTTTGATGATAAAATCAAGAACATTATATAGTTGGATGATAAAATTAAGAACATTATATAGTTTGACAATAAAATTAAGAACATTATATAGTTTACAATAAAATTAAAACATGATATAGTTTGATGATAAAATCAAGAACATTATATAGTTTACAATAAAATCAAGAACATTATGTAGTTTGACAATAAAATCAAGAACATTATATAGTTTGACAATAAAATCAAGAACATTATATAGTTTGACAATAAAATTAAGAACATTATATAGATTGATGATAAAATTAAGAACATTATAGGTTAAAACACTTAGAGCAGATACAACTTACATTTTGTTACAATTTAATTTTTGTTTTAATGTTCGTACTTCTAGTATTGAAATGTGTCTAGTTTAGCACTGGGAATTCACGAAAGACTGAATAAAAGTTTTTAGCACGAATCAGTATTTATTATACAGTAGATATAAATAGCAGAACTTAACATGCGAATTTGATTTACCGCTTCGAAATAGCTAATCATTTTTATTTACATTTGCTGTTAGTTAATGAAGCGTGGTTTTTACGTCACTTCCGCTTGGAACAACAATTCTTATTGTGAAATTAAATTTGTTTTTCGTTTTCATTTTGAAATGTTAAATCACTTCTTGATCTTCTCTCTCTAAACCAAAATCAAAATTTAATATCGGGTGAATATGAATGTAGCTTTTAACAAAGAGCTGAGGTTGTCATTATTATATCTGGTGAGCTTGTATGCGAGACTTCGGTTAAAGCTTTTTTTTTCTTTATATCTGAACTCAATCCATATAACCACATATAATAAACACCTCAGAATTACCCAGAGTATATAGCTTGTTCTTCCACTTTCTTGTAACTATCTTTGGGAAAAAGATCAGATTTAAGTATTGTAAGATATTGTTAGAATTATGGCCGAAAACACCGCTAACATTAAGATCATAAACTGGTGAATCAGCACATATTCTAATCATTATCACTTTCTTGTAACTATCGTGGGGAAATAGAATGGAAGTAGGTATTGTAAGATGTTGTTGGAATTATGGCCGAAAACACCGCTAACTGGTGAATCATCATATCTTAGTCATTATAGATGATAACAAAGAACTACTGAATCAGCTAAATTTATCACTGGGTTAGTTTAGTTCTAACCTAACTAGGTAGCTTATTCTGAGTAGAAGTTAATGGTAGTAAGGTATTAATCATTAGTTATAATGTTATAACCACTGGCGCACCTCATGTAAACCAGGTGTGGCAAATAGAAACTCTAAACTGAAGAGTGAAAAAAAAGAAAAAAGCTGAGTGTGAACATGAATTCTAAATCTAAGGATTGTTTGCCTAATCAATTAGAAACGAGAGAAACGGAGTTGAGATACGTTACATCACGCTTAATACTTAGTTCTTGCAATCGTTGTTGCCATGGAAATTATCATTTTTAAATATTAACATTATATTTATCTCTAGAGCGAGAAGAAATGCAGATACTCCTAAAAAGTAAAAAAAAAAAAGTTTCGCGTAACAAGACTAAAGTGTTAAAGTTCGTCACGAACACGCAAACCTCGGTGATAATTAAATTACCGTTCGTTGTGTGTATATTGAAGGGTGTGAATTTAATAACATCATTCAGGCTAGGTGGGCTGGGTGAGCTGACGTTTCTCGTAAACAGTACTATAGTCTTGAACTGTAAAGCTCTTTATGAAGGCTAGTTTGATAAACGTATATATAAATGGAGCCCAGCGAGTGCGAAACTCATCGCTTTGATTTTAACTTCACCCATCATTCAAGAAAAGAAAATGCAAGCGACGGAACCATACATCGATTATCCCGATCTAAAAGCGACCAGAATCATCCCAGATCCCACAAACATTCTGCTGGGAAGAAAAGCAAGTCTAAGCCTATTGACAACGTTGTAATGAACTCAAAGGGTTCTCCATCAGAAAGCAACAACTTACAAGAATCTGTAACTGGCAGTAAAAATATCTTTGACCCTCAAACTCCAAAACTTCCACGCGCATTTTCCGTCCAGTATCTGGGAAAGCGTTTCGCCCGTGGATTTTTGGGAATTAAAAACATCAGGCAACCAGTAGATGAGCTTGTTGCCGACTATCGAACAAAACTGCCCCAAAAGTCTCGGGTTATCCTTAGGATCGAAGTATCCTTGGAGGGTATTAAGGTCAGTGCGATGTCCCAAAGCAGTAATTCCAACTTTGAAACGAAGAGATACCCCATTAATCTAATATCGTACTGTGCTCAGGATACCGTGTACGATCGAATATTTGCCATGATAGTTGTCCAGGACAGTAAAAACTCCTTAAAACAACGTTCCTCCGAGTGTCACGCTTTCCTCTGTGAAAAACACCACAACGCTCGTGAACTTTCTCTGTCCCTGACTACAGCTTTCCATGCTAACCGTAGGAAGAAGGAATTCCAGCAACAGGAGAACGATTCAGACGCATGAATTCGTTTCTTTTCTCTTTTCTTTCAATTCCTTGTTGTTTCGTGTGGACTTGTAAACTCTCCGTTTATCAAGAGGACAGGTCTGTTGGTGCTTTAGGGAAATTCTTGCTGTAATAATCTTTGCTGTAATAACATATTTACATAACAGGTTTGTGCACTAGATTTTGTACACATGCTGTTACTCAATCTGTAATATGTCCTGTTATATCGGTGTAATAAGCAACTTTCAGGGACAATCTAAAGAACAAAAATAAGGTAAACGATTTAAGCTAGTTGGTTTGTTTATCTCTAATTCCGATATCAAATATGGCATTACTTTTCAAAATAACTACCACAAGGTTTAGCGTTTCCAATGTTTGAGTTTTAATTATCTGTACCAGCAACCTTCTAAACGTATCATTCTAAATTCTTTTATTCGACGACATTTTTATGGTTTCGTTTGTTTACTTGCCTGTTGTTAAGCACAAAGCTACACAATGGGCTATTTGTGTTAACAGCAAGGGTATTGACACCTGACATTTAGCGTTAAAAGCCTTCAAACTTACCGCTAAGCTTTCAGTTTTATAAACGCTTTGCTCCTCCGGCAACATTTCCAAAGTGGCACTTAACATGCTGTGGGAAGATCTGAATGTCAATAAAAATTTAGGGCTGACTTAGGAAACTTGGATATTGATTCTGAGACAAGTGTCTGAGACAAATGAAAGAAGAAAAATTCATTTCCATTCTTCAAACTTAAACCTAAATAAAACGTCAGTATAAGAAGATGTAACAGTCAACCTCTCTATGTGGTCAAGAGCAGAGGGCACTGCTAACTCGCTGAATGACCTCATTTCTGGTCAATCTCGCTGTTGTAAACACTACAAATTAATTAAACGTATTTCTGTTTCGTGCGTAAAACATTATTGGGACTAAAACGTTGTAGAAGAGCCAAACAACCACGATTTACAAACTTAGTACACATTACGTCACGACTATGACAGGATGAATAGGTGATAGGACAGTTCCCTATGTTTAAGATCGATCGCTTTAATTCGGCCATTCAAGTTTAGGCATTTGTGACTTCGCTATCATATTTCTTATGTCCACAATAATATTGACCTCTGATCAAGCATAAACTACAACTAAAAGTGAATCCGTAATGAATACAGCTACTTAAATATACTGTTCTAACGTTTATATAATATAATTATTAGAGCCCATTGTTTCGTCAGTTGGGTCACATTTTCGGCCGTAAACCCAATAATACTTTATCGAGGTTCGACCAGCTTCGGAGATTCGGGTTACTTCTACATCCATATACTATACCAAAAATGCAAAGAAATCTCTCTAATAAAGATACATTTTAAACGTTCTAATCAATACTGATTATGAAAGTAACATTAAATAAATAATACAGTATGCTTTACTTAATTTATCTGTACCTGTTTGCAAAATTGGAATGTTTTTTACATTGAACCAACCAAAGTATTGTAGAGATTTGCATATTTACAAACTTAGTGTCGCATGTGGAATTTCAACAAGTAACTAAAACCATAATTATCAATCTCTTACTTCCTACCCCCAGTGGCTCAACATGAATTCTGCAGGCTAAAAACCGAGGTTCGATACCCGCGGTGGACAGAGCGAGAAATGTGTCATAGTGTAGCTTCGTGCTTAACAACACAACCAACCAGTCTTTTACTGTGATCGCTCCTAGCGACTGATTAATTAACCATAACACATTGCAATCAAGATGACACAATTTAGATAATGTTAACGAACTTTACCGGAGAGACACAGGGGTTCAATAATCTAGGTTATTTTTGATTAGTTATTAAACCTCAATAGCTTTTGGGTATTGTTTAATGGGGGTGTTATCTTTATCAGGACTTCAGAAAGTATTTAGGATTCAGTTACTTTACGTTAGAATCTGCCTCAGGTTGTAGATGTGTAAACAAAGTTAAACTCAGTAAATAGTCTTGATTGGATGTGTAAACAAAGTTAAACTCAGTAAATAGTTTTGATTGGATGTGTAAACAAAGTTAAACTCGGTAAATAGTCTTGATTGGATGTGTAAACAAAGTTAAACTCAGTAAATAGTCTTGATTGGATGTGTAAACAAAGTTAAACTCAGTAAATAGTTTTGATTGGATGTGTAAACAGAGTTAAACTCGGTAAATAGTCTTGATTGGATGTGTAAACAAAGTTAAACTCAGTAAATAGTCTTGATTGGATGTGTAAACAAAGTTAAACTAAGTGACTGGTGTTAATTGGATGTATAAACAAAGTTAAACTCGGTAAATAGTCTTGATTGGATGTGTAAACAAAGTTAAACTCGGTAAATAGTCTTGATTGGATGTGTAAACAAAGTTAAACTCGGTAAATAGTCTTGATTGGATGTGTAAGCAACAAACAGACATTGGAAGTACATACAAAAGCTAAATTAAATATTCCCATCAAAAAATACCTGAAACTTTAAATATATTTCATACAATAGACCATGCGTTATGAAAGCAGCGTCCTTATGTCATAACAAACGCATGCGCAAAAGGCTTAATGAACAGCGTCTAAATCTTCCCAAGCTCTTGAAAACGTTATCATCCACACTTAACGATTATTATCGTACAGTTTACCACACCTTACATGGTTATCTCAACAATAATTACAATACTAGCATCATATAAAGACTGCTCTGTGTCAAAAAATGAGTATACGTACATACTTTTTTTTTTACATCTGTGTAACTTTGCTGACTCGAATAAATATATCAACCACTCGTAATTATTGTTATCTTTCACATTTTAGGTTTGTCGTGTCACAAATCTATCTCCTCGTTTATTTTATAGTCACTAGTGGTATTTTATGTATTTTACTTTAGTGGCTTATTGTGTTTTGTGAAATCAGTTTAAAATGTTTTGTTTGATGTTCTGAATTTGTTCTGAGATGTTTCCAGCCTTCTTGTTTTTTGTTTTTTTTACGCACCAAGTAATCAAACGCTAAGTCCGCTTCTAAAGTAGTAAAAAAAACTGTAATTTAGGTTTAGCAATTAAATCGCGCGCGCATTTTCAACGTTACTGTTCGATCCAACGTTTATTAAAAGTTTTCACGTGTTTCGTTTTCCTTCGGATTCGTTTTCATTGTTGTAGTTGCTTTGTTATAACCGATATATAAATGTTTAATGCTATAAAACTGTGGTTTATGCTGTGACGAACTTAATTTAAGGACAGGATTCCATCAACGTTTATCAAATAATCTTGAAATATTAATTTGCTATTTTATTAAAATAATTTCCAGAGACACCATATAACTTGTTGCGTAGGTGAAAAGTTCGTAGCTATTGCAATGGCAGCACGAACGATGGAGTCTTTAACCCCAATGAATACTTTTTTTTGAAATTTATGGCTTCATAAAGAATCCATATTATTGTTTTCTTTTTAGACTATTTACTATGCTGTTGTTGATCAGTTGCAATAGATGACTGTTTTGATCCTTGTTCTAAAAAAAATAGTCAGATGTTTTGATCCTTGTTCTACAAATAAAAATAATATAGTGAGATGTTTGATCCTTGTTCTACAAATACAAAATATAGTGAGATGTTTTGATCCTTGTTCTAAAAATATAGTGAGATGTTTTGATCCTTGTTCTAAAAAATAGTGAGATGTTTTGATCCTTGTTCTACAAATAAAAATAATATAGTGAGATGTTTGATCCTTGTTCGACAAATACAAAATATATTGAGATGTTTGGATCCTTGTTCTACAAATAAAAAATATATTGAGATGTTTTGATCCTTGTTCTACAAAAAGAATATAGTGTGATGTTTGATCCTTGTTCTATAAATCAAAAATATAGTGAGATGTTTTGATCTTTGTCAACAAATCAAAGATGTAGTGAGATGTTTTAATCCTTGTTCTACAAATACAAAATATAGTGAGTTGTTTTGATCCTTGTTCTACAAATACAAAATGTAGTGAGATGTTTTGATCCTTGTCCTACAAATACAAAATGTAGTGAGTTGTTTTGATCCTTGTCAACAAATAAAAATATAGTGAGATGTTTTGATCCTTGTCAACAAATAAGAATATAGTGAGATGTTTTGATCCTTGTCAACAAATAAGAATATAGTGAGATGTTTTGATCCTTGTCAACAAATAAGAATATAGTGAGATGTTTGATCCTTGTCACAAATAAGAATATAGTGAGATGTTTTGATCCTTGTCAACAAATAAGAATATAGTGAGATGTTTGATCCTTGTCAACAAATAAGAATATAGTGAGATGTTTTGATCCTTGTCAACAAATAAGAATATAGTGAGATGTTTTGATCCTTGTCAACAAATAAGAATATAGTGAGATGTTTTGATCTTTTCCCTACAATAATAAATCCTCTCCCTGTCTGAATAACTAAAACATCTAACAGATCTGAAACGATATAAAATTTTCTCGTTCTATATTTTAACAACCTCAAATATTAGGACAACAAACAACAGCAGGCAACAATGGCATAAGTTTAAATCGCTTAACTACAACTCACTATAGATTCAACATTAATCTGAGCTGGGCTGTGCTTAACGTGCCTTGACTTGAATCCGAAGGTAAAAACGCGCTCCGCAGTTGGGGCCGTAGGTATGCTGAAAGAATGACGATCCAATCACAATCGTCAGTCAGACCAGAGTAGCCAATGAATTTGCGGGGAGTGCTGTTGCCTAGCTGCCTTTCTTCTATTCTATCAAAACGACTACACGTGTAACTTTTCGCGAAAATTCTAAAGTAAACAATCAAATACATCTAGAAACTTGTCGTAACTAATCATGCACCATTTAAACTGATCCCCATATTTATTCATCCAATTTTCGTTTTTTGAACGTTAGGCAACTTTTGAGGTACCTTATATCAGTTTCAAAATAAACGGTATACAGAACTATATTTTTAAGAGGAACGATACATCTTTCAGGTTTCAGTTTGTAAAATTAAAGCTTCGGAGGAATACTTGAGCACTGCTTAGGCTCAACAAGTATATCAATGGATGTGAGAAATTTTATGTAGCCACCTATCGTTCATGGTTTTAAACAACGTTATTATCACATAAAAACCATACATTCAGGGTAAAACATAGAGACGCTGGCCCTCTAAACTCCTGAAGGTATTTCCGGCAATTTGCCGACAATTGTTCTACATTAAAGACTTCACTTAAATCCGAATTGAGACGGATTTCGTTCAAATTTTTTATAGTATTCAGCTATACTTTCTTTTTCTTTGAGATCTGATAACTTTTGTAATTTATTCAACTTTTATCCTTGTTTCTATGCATCAGATTTCGAACGTTCATGGATATCGGTTCGAAGCTGCTGACCTTGATTCAAGATCGCGGTGTTCTGCTGAACACACTCTGCACGTTCAGTTGCATCAAGTTGTAACTAAGCAGCTATAATTCTGCTGTTTCAAACTGACCTCCCAGCGCAAAAGATCGCTGGTCACTTTCATATAGTATGTTCGATTTTACTGAAATATTTCCCACGAAAAGGTACACCCTTGTTGAATGATCCAGTTCAATAGCTAACTAGGGTGAAAGGAAATTAGCCATTTCCTTAACCAATGTTCTGTGTTAACACTGCATACACTGTCTGTTCGAAAAGTTTGAGAAAATTTATATTAAATAACGGCGAAGAAAATTCATAGTATGCCAGTACTACATAACAAGACTTTCTTAGCTTAACTTTAAGCATGTTAGGCTGGAATTGTTTAACTGGCTGCTCTGCCTTGGTTCCTAAGGTGGACATTATTTCGGACTCTATGAACTCTTCAAATTTCCAAAAAATAAGGTTTAAAACATCATTGACCATAAATTTCAAAGCAAGAGTACATGAGTCCATAACGATCTTTATTCCTGTAAACTAAAAACGACGAAGGACAAGTTTGAACTAAATAATCACAGACTATAAATTCCGTTTACCTCACAAGATTTAATTTCACATGCTCTAATATTGGCAAGAAGGTAAAAAAATCCCACACTTTCCGACACAAATTATCATCATCATAGTTTACAGCTTGCTCTAGGTCCATTACGAAATACATCATATGTTTACCCATGTTTCTATTTACTTTCCAGTTCAAACGAACACACGGCTGTAGCTGGATCTTATTGATTGCAATAGTTCTTTTCAATTCGGATCCGGTTTTTATCTCGTAATACTACGCTAACATTCTGGGTCCGATACCTTTGAGGGGAGAGGCTTTGAACTTAAAAAAAAACATATAATAAAACAACTACACCACACCTGCTTAGAGTGATTCTTTAAAAGCAGTTTCGAACTTTACAGAACATATATATCTTAATAGTTGTTGGTATCATCCCAAACTCTGATTGTGGCGCCATCTATTATTTACATTGATTACTGATACTTAGCACACATTTTACTAAAAAATGTCCCTTGTCACTTTACAATAAAAAATGCTGATTATTAATTAGGAACTCGAATATTATTAAATGGGTATCTTCTAAGTTTACTAGAACTATTTGTACTGTAAATTATTTTGAAGTGTGGCTTCAAACTAAAACACACACGAATTATCATCTTAGATTTTATAATTATCATCCATCAGTATTTGTACTTGGTTACAAGTACGAAAAGAGACAAAAGGTTTTGTATGGACTTGAATTACCCAAGACACCACCTGATCTCAAAGATCACATGCACGTATTTATTTAAAAACTGGAGAAAAACTGAACCTCTCCCTTCTTAGAAAAAACATATCGACAACCATTTTATACTGAGAGTGGAAACTACCCAGTTGTATGGGGTTATGTGGAAATTTCATACATTTTTCTTCAAACAGTAATTAAATTTCTCATATGTGAAGGTTATTGTTACGAGTCCAGCTCGAAAAATGGACTGACGTTTGATCATTTTCACGGCGAAGCAGCTGTGGGTTGTAAATCTCTCTAGAAAACATTGGTATCCAGAGTAAGAAAAGATTGGGTTGTAAACCTCTTCTACAAAACATTGGTACCAAGAGTAAGAAAATATTGGGTTGTAAATTTCTCTCTCTAGAAAACTTTGGCGCCCAGAGTAAGAAAAGATTGGGTTGTAAGTCTTTCTAGAAAACTTTGGCGCCCAGAGTAAGAAAAGATTGGGTTGTAAGTCTTTCTAGCAAACTTTGGCACCCAGAGTAAGGAAAGATTGGGTTGTAAGTCTTTCTAGCAAACTTTGGCACCCAGAGTAAGGAAAGATTGGGTTGTAAGTCTTTCTCTAGGAAACATTGGTACCCAGAGTAAGAAAAGATGGGTTGTAAATCTCTCTGTAGCAAACTTTGGCACCCAGAGTAAGAAAACCAAGTGATTGTGAACTTGTCTAATAAACATTGGTACCCAGAGTAAGGAAAGATTGGGTTGTAAGTCTTTCTAGCAAACTTTGGCACCCAGAGTAAGAAAATATTGGGTTGTAAGTCTTTCTAGCAAACTTTGGCACCCAGAGTAAGGAAAGATTGGGTTGTAAGTCTTTCTAGCAAACTTTGGTACTCAGAGTAAGAAAATATTGGGTTGTAAGTCTTTCTAGCAAACTTTGGCACCCAGAGTAAGGAAAGATTGGGTTGTAAGTCTTTCTAGCAAACTTTGGCACCCAGAGTAAGGAAAGATTGGGTTGTAAGTCTTTCTAGCTAACTTTGGTACCCAGAGTAAGAAAAGATTGGGTTGTAAGTCTTTCTAGCTA